ATGTAAACGAGTGATATTATTTTCAAAATTATTTTTCAAGATGTATTTTATTATGACATGTGACTGAAGGTGTAAATATTTACAGATTAGTAATTAGTAACTAATTTTACGACAACGGCAGGACTATATAAAAAAGCTATAAAACTAAATATATCTGTGGCAAAGATCTCCACGTTGAATGAAGAGTTAAGATTGTAAATCGAAATGAGAACACAAAATGCCCCTGCATCCTATCGACGCAAAGATGACAATTAGTGCACTTCAACATCGTGGATGCAATTATCAGAATGTCTGTAGTAATTAGCAGTAAGTCAATAAGTAGGCGTGATCGAGTCAGAATATTAATAAAAGTTAAAAAAAAAAACAAAAAAAAGCTTAAATCGTCAGCAAAAGCAGGAAAAAGTGCAACGGTGAAGAAAGCGGGAATCAGCACAAGCAAAAATGTGATATAATCATAATCAATATATTTCACAAGCACAAATTAGTGAATGTGTGAAAATATTCGACATTAATTTGACATACGTACTTACGATATTGACACATTGACGTGTGTGTATCATTTCACAAAATGCACGAAAATCAATGATTGTTATTCAGTAATTATCTAATGCAATTCAAGATTATTATCGACTTATAATAATAATTGAAAATAAAAATTGATAAGTAACATTTTTATGTGACAAAGACTTATAATATATTTTAATAGAAATATGTATTGTGTGATACTTTATGCGTACGTATGTACTTATTCGAACAAAGTAACGCAGATGTTATTAGGAAAGACTGGAAATGTAAATATTAATCGTTGAATTACTTTTTTTTAAAATAATATTTTACCGCAAGTTGTACAAAATAACGATTTATCACAAAAAGCTTCAAAATTCATAAGATTATTTTTCATATTTTAACCTTTTTTGTACAAGGTGGGGCACGATCTGGCATTCTTCTTTAGTCCAATAAAAATTACTACTGATTGAAAGCAACACACAGAAATTATTTTTGAGTGTACTTATAACTGAGTTTTATTCTGGTTCCTCAGGGATCGATGTCTAAATTTATCCTCCTATCTGGATTCTAGGTTCTTTGGACATCCGATAACTCGTGGCAGTGGTAGCGATATGTATTTCGATATAAGAATTTCACTAATAAACTACACTTAGACTACTCGAGTATCCTACCGACTGCACCAATTATGGATGTCGCCGCCGGAGGACCAAAAAAACCAAATAACTTTTATTAAATTTAATTTAAAAGAACTATTACCACAATAAATATTAGTACTAACGTTCAGAAGTTGCACTCTTTTGATGTTGACTGCTTGACGACGTTTTAATAGCCTTACATAGATATTATTAATCAGATAAATCGCGCACGTAAGCTAAATAAAACTTTATCACTGCGCGCGATTGTCCGTATTATTTTGCATCTTTTCTCCTTACGTCACTACGGACTTTTCGTGGTTGCTTAAGGCTGTTAATAAAGAGTAAAAAAATACATTGTGAAATGGTAAGTTACTTAGGTAAAGTACCTACTCCCACTTCGGAACACGTCAGAGCGCTTCATATTCAAATCTATTGAAAGTGAGGTTATGTTGATGAAAAAGACGAATTTTAAAATAAAATATGTATTAGACAGCAAAAAACAGCGAAATGCAAGAAGAATAATAACTAATTACAAAGTAAAACCAATAAAACATACCTTCACTTAGTTATAATAAAGACACAGAGAGCATGTGCTTACAGAAATGCAAAATTGACAACGAAACAAAATGGCGGCTATTACAGTGTTGCCTAGTTAAAAGTAGACAATTTTAGTGTTGTAAACTATAAAGCATAAAATTATTAATCATTTTCAATTTGTTTCATTGAACTAAAACCATCGTTGTAAAGTATAATTGGTTTTAAATACTAAATAAACGGAACACCCATTAGAACACCCACTGTAGCTTTGTCATATAATTTATTTAAAATGCAGAGATACTCTTCAAATTATCTGTTCCAATCTCAGTACCAGATGAAATATTTGTTCTGCACTGAATGTCACATTTCATAAATAAATTTCAAAAACTCTTTTACAAATGTGGTGTATTAAAAAGTGTCACTATTTCTTTGTCATGGAATGTAAAATATTGTTGTTGCTCATTTGCACCTAAAATAGAGAGAGCTCGCTGATTTACTCCGTCCATGTCACAGACTTTGTACAGATATATTTATGACATGTTACAGATATATTTATTCTAGCCTGAAAGCACTGATTTAAGAACTGAAATTAAAAATCAAATATGGTTTACTACTGTTGAAATTGTTTAGGCAACTTTAATTTTAGATATTTATATAAAATGAACATATACGAGGGTGGATTGAAAAGTACTCGGCCTAACCAAGAAAATAAACACATACTAAATCAGTTATATTTTTATTTTTCTACATAATCACCATCAAGTTCAATACACTTTTGCCACCTCCCCTTCCAAGCATTTAGACCGTTGAAAAAAAATGATTCTTCCTTAGAGTCAAAATATGCGTCTACAGCTGCTTTGACCTCGTCGTTTGTCGAAAATCTTTGACCTCCCAAGTGCTTTTTTAGGTTAGGGAACAGAAAGAAGTCTGATGGTGCCAGATCAGGTGAATACGGCGGATGCGGTAACAGTTCAAAGCCACAGTTGTGAATTTCAGCCATTGACTGTACTGACGTGTGAACACGGGCGTTATCTTCATGAAACAGGACTTTTCTTCTGAGCATTCCTCGACGTTTTTCTTTTATTTCCTCTCGTAAACGACGTAGTAAGGTGCAGTAGTAATCAGAGTTTATATTCTGACCCCTTTCAAGATAATCAATCATAATCACACATTTCGAGTCCCAGAATACTGAAGCCATCACCTTATTTGCCGACAAAATCGACTTAGACTTTTTAGGGGGTGGTGAACCAGGTCTTCTCCACTGTTTTGATTGTTGTTTTGTTTCCGGTGTACAGTAATGAACCCATGTTTCGTCCATAGTAACAAAACGATTCAAAAAATCATCTGTATCGGCTTCAAATAACTCCTTTTTTGTTCAACTGAAAGCAGTCGCGGAACCCACCTCGCAGACACCTTGTGGAAACCCAACTCGTTGACAATGATGTTTTGAGTTCGTTCATAAGAGATGCCTATAATCTCGGCTATCTCTCTAATTTTTAATCTGCGGTCTCCCATTATTAAATCAAGTACATTTTTAATATTTTCGTCAGTAGTTGACGTCGAAGGCCTTCCAGAGCGAGGTTCATCTTTCACACTCTCTCTACCACGCTTAAATTCTGCTATCCATTTTTTGACGGATGAATATGACAGAGCACAATCGCCTAATGTACTGACCATGTCATCATGGATGGCTTTTGATGATAGCCCCTTCTTATGGAGGTACTTAATGACGGCACGCTGCTCGATTTGCTCCATTCGCGGAAATTATGTCCGATTACTTTGTTAATAAATTTATAAAATCACAACTAATTATCGCACACGTTTCGAACTTCACACAATGAACTAGTCTGAACTGAACTAAATAATGTGGGTAGATTTGATTTTTAGAATTGAATGGATCTGTGTTAGGTCGAGTACTTTTCAATCCACCCAGGTATTATGTACTAAAAAGTCTATCTGCAGTTAAAAATGCGCTGGAGAAATAGTTGGCAATGGGCTGTTTCACTGTCTTCCTAATACCAACAATCATAAACACTAATGCATATGATGCAAGTGATCTTCCTTGTGTTCCATGATCCTGATACTAATGCATATGATGCAAGTGATCTTCCTTGTGTTCCATGATCCTAATACCCTTCAATAAAATCTTCTTTTGGGTTGTACATTACATGTTTTTTTTAATGACATTTCATATATCAGTATAAATTGATTTTCTGATGGTTTTATTGTTTTTATGAAATCTGCCAGCACCTTAAAACTAGTTGATTGATTCCAACAGCAAAAGGTACTCTGTTGCGCAAAGCCTTCAGTGTATCAGGTGATGACAATTGGAAAGGCCTTATTAATAGCCTGTAACAGTTGGGTGATCTTTTATAAAGCCTCAAGGCTATAATTTTTTCCTCTTTTGTCTATCTGTGTCCTGTAGCTTTTTTTATAATTTCTTAATTGAGCTTGTAATAACAGTGCAAATGTTGGTGTTATTATCTCAGACAATTTTCTTACTGCATTGTTATCACTTAAAACATACGTAAACACTCACGCCTGTCACCCAGAGGGTTAGGCAGAGACTATGGACTTCCATTTGGCACGATCCTGACACACCTCTCTCGCTTCCTCCACATCCATATACCTACGCATACACGCTCGTCGGTTAAAGGTACTCTTGATTTGGCCCATTTTCAATATATCGCCAATTTGATCGATAAACTTTCGTCTAGGGCGACCCTTCCCGACTCTGCCGTTCACCTCTACAACATAAATCTGTTTTGTCAATCTTTCCTCATTCATTCTTTTTACATGATCAAACCTCAAAACATTTAATTTAATTTTGGATTTAAGGTTTTTAATGCGATTACGCAATTGACAGCCTTTCATCATGGAATTTTTACATTTTTCATACGGGCATCTTTTTTCAGGCTCTACATTATTTGAGATTTTTGTGGCTGTTCTTCTCTGGATATACTCCTCTTGGCCTTGTGGCTATGCATCTTGTGCACTGCCTTGACGGGGAAGCCATGGGACTTAAGGTCCTTCAGGATCACCTCGTTTGAGAGTTTCAAGGGAACGTCGGGGAGGACAGCCCTGACCTTACGCTCCTCCGGAAGAGTGTACGTGTAGCAGGACACACGCTCGTTTGTGAAAAGCTTGGTGAAGCGACGAAAGTCGTCGATAGTTTGGGAGATGATCTTTATAGCTTTACCGAGGTTGGTGGCTTGGTCGTATTTGATGCCTGTGTCGTAACAGGTTTTGGAGAGCCTGGTGAATTAGTCCTCGTCTCTAAGAAAGACAGCTTGCAGTGCTTGCAGCGTTAGAGGTTGCGGTGGCGCGGTCAACGGCGGTGGCTGAGGATATCGCGGGCGGCGGCAGTGGCTGCTAGGACTAGGGGTGTGCGAAGAGTAGCAGCGCGTTTCGGACCGCGCTTGAACTTCACTTTTATGAAGGTGGTAGCGTCAGTAACTGTTCCGTTAAAATCAGTCGAATCCGTGGAGCAGCTACTGGATGAATTGTCGAAAGTTTGACATGTTGGATTAGACAAGGTTAAAACAAAGCAAACAAAAACAATTAACAAGTCAAAAACAATATATGAGCAAATCCCTGCCAGGAGGAAGGGGGGCAAGAATGGCGTGAAAAATTAGAGCGTACTCACAGTCGGCGACTGCTCTGCTACAGCGTGAGCGGGAGAGCGAAGGCGCGAGAGCGAGAAGGCACTCACCGTACGGGGAGCGGTCAACTAACACAACCGATCGGGAGCGGTGGTAATTGCGAAAATAATGCCATCACAGCGGCCTTTTATACCGGGTGTCCGGTGGCTATTTTCACATTTCAAAGAATGATATAAAAATAAATACAAAAGCTTTCTAAATTATTTTTATTCTCATAGAAAGAACATTAATGTGAGTTTAATTTTTTAAAAATAATGTTTTCTAAATGTCGACCTTCTTGGCGCAACCACTCTTCCCATTTCACACGCATATTTTCAAAAACGCGTTTACAGAGATCGCTAGAAATATTCAAAACTTCGGTCCGAATATTTTCTTTCAGTTCAGCAGTGGTGGTCGGTTGGTTTTGGTAAACGATGCTCTTCAGGGTGCCCCATAAAAAGAAATCACATGGATCAGCAGGTCTACTCTAATTCAACGAAAAACGAAATTTCGATCGAAATTTCGCTCAATTCCTACCATGGTTCTATTCGATTCGAAACTTCGTTGAAACGAAATTAGTTTGACGTTTAAGTTCTCTAAGCCTACTCTATTGCACTAAAGTTACGAACGAAAATTGAAGTTTGACAGATACTTGTTCGTAATTTTAACCTCAAATTGACGAAACCAAAAGTGTTAACTTTTTATTTTCGTTTTGGTCGATTTTGTTAAAAATTTAACTAAAATGGCTACGAGACAGCTTTTAATCGCGGCTGCTTTACGTGAAGAACGATTGGAGCGTAGAAGGAACCGGCGCCGCCTGCGTAATCAATTAAATATTTCAAATATTCCCGATCTAGAGTTTGTCGGAAATTACAGACTCAGTCGGGAATTATTCGAGGAGTTGTGCCAGGACATAGTGCCTTTATTGCCTCCAAAGGGAAGACAACATGGAATCGAGCCCACACTTAAAGTAAGTTTAAATTGTTTAAACACTCCCTTCTCTTTAATTTTTCATTTTACTGTTCATAAGCCTCAATCTGTGTTAATGTATTTCAGATACTTACTGCTTTGAACTTTTATGCTCGAGGAAGTTACCAGGGGTCAGTGGGACAAAATATGGATGGGCCCATGGCACAACAGACAGTGTCCCGTTGTTTACAAGAGGTAACAACTGCACTTAATGCACCCCACATACTAAGGAAGCACATAAGATTCCCACAAAATAGGAATGAAAGGAATCTTATTAAGCAGAAGTAAGTACTTACCTTCCTATCTAGTATTGACCGTTAAACTTATTAACATGTGAAATACCTAGTAGTTAAAATATTATTCTGTTATTTTAAATGAACAATTTACATAAAAATTGTGCCAAGACTAGGCAAATAAGTCATGCAAAAACAAATATAATTTTATTGTACAATTTACTATTCTATAATAATATCGTATCCTTATTGTAGATTTTATGATAAATATGGGCTACCCGCTGTGGTGGGGTGCATCGATTGTTCACATGTAGCCATAGTGAGGCCTTCGGAGCACGAGGGACGATATTTTAATCGAAAACATTTTCATTCGATTAATACTCAAGTTGTAAGTTTATGTACAATATTTTAATGTTTTTATTATGACATTCACTATTTTATTACTTACATTTTATCCTATGTTACATTGATGGAAATTCTTTTTCAGATATGTGACAGTGATTTATTAATTACAAATGTTGATGCTTCATATGGTGGAGCAACTCACGACGCTTATATTTGGAGGGAATGTGAGATAAGAAACCACTTGGAGGGTCTCCAGGATGAAACAGTTTATCTATTAGGCATGTCTTGATTTATAGTTTTGATATTCATTATGTGTAAGTAATGTGATGATGCAATTTACACTAATATTATATTTTTAAATTTTTAGGTGATTCTGGTTATGCTCTAAGGGAGCATATGATGACACCTGTAGATAATGCTGTTGAGAACTCTCCAGAGGGAAGGTACAATTACCTCCAAAAACGTGTACGCTGCACCATAGAACGCACATTTGGTGTATTGAAGGGTCGATGGAGATGTCTTTTGGCAGCTAGGGAACTCCATTACTGCCCAGAAACAGCAGGTAAAATTATATTAGCCTGCTGTGTTTTACAAACATGTGTATAAGGGCTGGTATTGAAGGTCCCGAGTTGACTGAAGAGGAACACCAATCGGAGAGAACCAGGCAGGTTCCCTTTGAAACAGCCGCATCTTCTACTCAAGCTCTACAGGCAGGTCGAAGGGCAAGGAATTCATTAATATAAATGTTAGAAATTAACCGGTAAGATAAACTCAAACCAAACAATTGTGCAAGTAGATTAAAATAAACTCAATTAAAAACTTTTTTTTGTTTTAGGAGATAATCATCATCATCATCATATCAGCCACATTTAAGCCGTTTATTTGTGATTAAGTAACAATCAAAATCCATACTTTCTTATTTATAATATTATAGGATTAGGAATTAATATTACTGAAATGTATGGCACTCACTTCTTACCTAAAACATACACTTCTTATCTTGTTATAATTGTAAGCAATGCGTTTTTTTTTAATGTTAACTTTTATGTCTAATGAATTTAGTTAATATTGCATATTGTACAACATTATCTATTTAGGTATGAATTTTCGAGTAGGTACCTAGTAGACAGTGATTTCTCAACTAGTTGAAAGTTATTTGCTCTTACCTTTCCGATGTGTAGATAATTAATTTCAATACCTGCCCATTGTATGTAAACTTTTGTTAATTTTTGTGATGTAAAATTACATTACCTTAAAGGTCATTTTACAAATTTGATGACTCTGTATGAAATATACAAGGAGAAAAAAATCAGCCCTTAACGAGTTTCTTGCCGGTTCTTCTCGTTACAAGGTCTCCTGCTTAGGGTTTGAGAACCGATGGCGTAGCTTCTTTGACATTCACAAGTGCTTGTAACAGCCTAGATTAAAATATTTTTAGGCATAAAATTAGTTCTGTTTTATTTTTTCACCTACTTATCGTTATCCTACCTACCTAGATGTTCATAAAATGGCAACAAATATTTACTTAATCCTTATCTATGACATTGCAGATATTTTGTCACATACAGAGAAAATAATAACTTCTATGATTTTAAATACTTAACAGTATCTTTATATTATATCGAATTATGGTCATGATAATCAACTCTCAGTAATAATAAAGTTCTTATTTTAGCTTTCTTAATCTGAAAGTACAAATAGTCTCAAAAATAGTAAAAAGAAACAATAGTATTCAAAAATAAATTTATTTAAAACCTAACGCCTATTTTGCCTTAAAAACTCTAAATAATCTCGCCCTATGTCACGCAACTCTTCCAAGGCAGCCCTGATGCCTGCGAGCTCGGTGTTCCTCACTGTCTCTCTCTCTGCACGTCCATCTTCATACTGGTACAACCTGCTTCTGACATCGGAGCCAGCAGCAGATCGTATTCTTCTGGGACGTGCAGATTGTGAGGCTGCAAAACAACATTCCAATATGTTACATTGCAGTAAATACTTAATCAATAAGTATATTTTTTGTGACAAACAATATTTTTCTTGTAATTTTAATCTCGACTGTAGTTTAGTGGTAAGACCTTCATGTATCAAATACATCCATACATACCTTGTGTATCAATTTCTATCGAAATTTCGTTTTTCGTTGAATTAGAGTAGACCTGCTGGCTTTCTTTGCTTGGGTCGGCGTACTCCTCAACTTCTACATGCAAGTCCGGGCTCTGCTGCTGCAGTTGGCTTCCTTGACTGTAGGTTGATGGTCTGGATTCATTCGTCTGAAATGAATATAAAAGATTGAATGCTTAATGTTTAAGTGAAGTATTAATTTTTAATGTCTACCACAATACAAATTGTATTGTATTTTTACCTGATGGGTTAAAAAAAGTAGCATACTCACATAGAAAAATAATTTTGTAAATAAAAATCATATATCATTAAGATAAATATTTGAACATATCAAAGTTTAGAAATAGGGAAACCAAAGAATGATGAGGTACTTACTTCAGTGAAAGCTGGCACTCTGGCTCCAATTTGGCGGTCACCGAACCCATCTCCCATTATGGATAAGACTTTTAATTCCGAATGGGAGAGTTGGGGTGCCACTGATGGACCACCTCCAGTCATTGAAGCCGACCTCCGGGAATCAGCAGCGGCTTTTTTGGCCAGATGTTTTCTATCAAACCATACCTATCCAAAATAAAAGTAAATATTAAATCTTTATCACTCACTTTTCACTGATAAATAGCTTAAGCATTTAATTATATTACTACGAATTACCTTTTGCCACTGCTGAACTGTCTTTGTGCAACCGCCCATGGAATTGAGCGTATTGCACAATTCATCCCACAGCCTCTTCGCCTGGACTTTTCCTTCTAGACTCCTCAATCTCCCGCGAGCAAGATCCCTATGCTCGTCCAGGAAATTGAGGAGTGCATCAATTTGTTCAGGAGTAGCCGAACCCGTATGTGGAGCCATTATTTTACACTGAAAGATGAGATGAAAATAAATTATAGGTACCTATTATTACAAAAAAATATGTTATGGAAGTATTATAAGTGCAAAACAATTAACATTACTTACACTCTTTCTGAATATAAAACCAAATTAAACCAAATAGAAGTCTTTGTGGACCAAAGGACGCCCATATGAAGACTGCGACTTGAAATTGAATGTGTATCGCGTTTGCAAAGTAGGCAAAGAAAAAAACAAAACATATTAATAACTCTTCACTTGAGCACACAGGAAAGAATCTCTACCTACGTCTTACACTTGAGCTTGAGAAACAAACTTAAAACTATTCAAACTTTCAAAGAATGCAAACAAAAAATCCACAAGTGATGACTGACAGCATTGTGATAATACGGATAAGTTTGGTTGTTATACGATACTATAAACACCGTTTGTTATTATTGTACACCTTAACTTAGTCGGTTAACGGTCATTGAAAGGGTTATTTTAGGGTCACTGTGATTTTCTTCGAAAACTTGTATATTTATGCCTTGTGTAAGATTTTTTGGAATAATATGCATAAAAAACCACGATTATTTTAATAAATTCGTAAAATACATAACATTGTTCGTTCCATTCGTTCAAGAAAATTGTCTTTGGACTCGAACTTTGCGTGCGCGTCCGAAAATGATATAGAGTAGGGTCAGACACGAAACTTCGTTTAAATTTCGTTCGTTAACGAAGTTTCGTTTCGGAGAAAGAGAGTAGGCCTCAAGGTCGGGCGATCGTGCTGGCCAGGGGATGTCACCGTACCGAGAGATGATTTTTCCTGGGAACAATTCCCTTACAACATTCATGGAGATGTGTGCGGTATGAGCGGTGGCGCCATCTTGTTGAAACCAGCTGTTTCTGTTAGCAATAGAACTGTTGCGTAGTTCGTCTCTCAAAAAACCGTTGACCATCTCACAATATCTTTCTGAATTAACGGATATTGCCCGACCACGACTGTCTTCAAAAATAAGGACCAAGAATTCCTTTCCCTTATATAGCGCACCAAACTGTTACCTTATCTGTATGCAATGGTTCTTGATGCATTCTTTTGGATTCTCAGAACTCCAGTAACGGTAATTTTGTTTGTTTACATAACCGCCTAAATGAAAATGGGCTTCGTCACTGTAAGAAACGTTCAGCAGTCGTGTTTCCGTACAAAAAGTTGTTAACATTAGTTCGGGATAAGATAACCTTGCTTGGTAATAATTTTCGTTAAGTTTTTGAGTTATTTGAATTTTATATGGATGAAACTTGAGCTTTTTTTTGATTATTTCGTGCAATGTTGATCTAGCAATACCTAAAGCTGTTGAACGTGCTCTTAGTGACATCCGGGGATTTTGCAAAACTAAATCACTCACACGTTGGATGGTTTCTGCAGTCGATACAGATGCAACTGGACTTTGGCGACGCATGTTTACAGCTGAGCCTGAAGCAAGAAATCTTGCTACCCAATAACGAATTAAAGTTTTTGAAGGAACATCACTTATTCGTGGAAGATTAAAATGATTACGGAATTTCCGCTGCGCCGCAATCAGCGAAAAATTGCTTGTTAAATATGCCTCGATCACGAAAGCGCGCTCCTCTCCCAACCAACGCGGCATGGCGACTAAAGAACTCACGACGCTGACGAATCTAACCCCGCACCCCACGCCCCCCCAGCTGTTTGCGTTCTTAAGTTACAACACTTTGAAATGTGAAATAGCCACCGGACACCCTGTACAATTTAAATAGTAACCTAATAATGAACATTATTATTTGTTACGGCCTACAACTGCTCCTACAAAGGTTCAATCTCCGGGGCCCTTGAGTGGAGATTCAACAAGCAGCCGCAGGTTCGAGTTCGAGTGGCTATATGGAAGAATTTCCTATAATACTAAGCTATATAGAAAATGTTTTATCCTACTACAATTTAATTGGGGAGGCTAGTCAAATAGATATTACTTAACTGTATACTAGGCGACTGCTGTCTCAGGGCTCGGTCAGGCCGGAAGTGTGTAGGTGTTGGGTATAGTGGTGGTTATGTGGTGTTGGTGGTGATAGACCTGACGGGACCTTTGAAGTCGGCAGCAGCTCGGACTTCGGCGCCGCCCCAAATTGTGGTAATCTCCAGCGGCGTCACCCACAGTCACTTTCTTCCTTCTTCACAATGACAGTCTATTAACTATACTTCCAGACGCCACTAACACTAAACTAAAGCGTAAAACACAACACGTGGCGCGGCCGACGACAGAGGTAACTAATTCAACTTCGTTCGCGACCGGCAAATTAAGCAAAAAACAAACGTCCGTTACGATCGATAGATTTTTACACTAAATCGCCTCGATGTGTCCAGTCGACCGGCTCGAAAGGAATGTCGGCGCGGGGGGGATGTGACCTAGATATGGTGAGAGGCTATTAGCGGGCGGTTATAATACAATTTCAAAATGTTTAATATTTTGCCTAAACAAACCGCTGCCCCGGACATAAGGAATTATGTCCGCGAGTAGATTGGCAAACGGGACAAAGTCGCGACGGCACGTTGCAAGACCGAATCTCCGACCAAAACCTCGGCCACCCTAGGCACCCCATCCGATCCATACGATAACTTAACAATGCGCCCACGGCGCCAATACATAGGCAGAGCGTTGGGTTCTTTAACCAACACGAGGTCTCCAACCCGAGGAGGATCCGTCTTGTCAGACCACTTAATGCGCTGCTGCAAAAGATGTAGGTACTCCAGAGACCATCGGTGCCAAAAGCTCTGAAGCATCTGTTGCAGCAGGTCAAACCTGCTCAACCGCGAAGAGTTCGTTTCCCTGAAGGGGTACTCGGGCAGAGCGTTAAGCGGCTGGCTAATCAGGAAGTGTCCCGTGGTTAGAACCTCCAAATCATTCGGATCGGACGAGAGGGGACAGAGGGGCCGAGAGTTGAGTACCGCCTGAATTTTACAGAATACAGTGGCGAGTTCCTCAAATGTCAAAATAGTTTCGCTAATAACGCGACGGAGATGCGTTTTTGCAACTTTAACCACCGTCTCAAAAGTACCGCCCCAGTGTGGACACGCCGGAGGGTCAAATTTCCACTAGATGCCCCTTTTTGACATCGCATTGCCTAAATAAGTCCGGTGGCTGGACAGAAATTCGACGACCTCTTTCAGATACATATCCGTGCCCTTATAATTCGTTCCGCAATCAGACCGGATCAGGTCCGGCAAACCGGCCCGCGATACGAAACGGCCCAGCGTGGCTAAGAAGGCTTCCGTGCTGAGGGCACTTACAAGTTCTAAGTGAACGGCCTTAGTGGAGAGGCACACGAAGACGCAAAGATAGGCCTTATGTGAACGCGCGTTATGAAGGTTAGAGAACTTGACGAGGAAGGGGCCAGCAAAGTCTGTACCGACTCCAGCGAATGGTCGGATGGCCCTGACGCGGTCGGGTGGCAAGTCACCCATCAACAAGATATTCACTTA